GATTATAGGTGTGAGCCACCACGCCCGGCCAATAATTTTCATTAAAAAAATTTCTACTGGTTGAGTTACATAGCATTTGATATGGTATTTGATAGAACTAGGGTGCCATCTGTGAGATCCTGGTCTGAACATGGTTCTTAGGCCTGAAGGTGTTTTGGGAGCAAAGGGAAATTGGAACTCTTCCTTCTCCTTAGCTTCTTGGGACCAGATTCAGCTGGAAGCAGCTGATCTCAGGAATATACTGAGGTAGACATCCATTCATCTCACTATATGAATTCCACCTTAACTGATTTAATAGTCCTCTCATTTGCTCTTTATGTGATGCCTAGACAGACAGTTATTTCAATGCAATCACTCATGTTGATCATTTTACTGAATTTTTAGGCTGGTTTTTACAGAATGGTCAATCTGATTGTTGGTTCTGAATAAAAGACCTTATCTTTTCTCCATTTGCTTTCATGTTGACATTCCTGTTCTCATTACATTGGAAACTAAAGAGAGGCACAAAAATAATCTGCAAAGACTTATTAATAATGGGTAATATTCTTAACTACCCTTCTTTCAGGGACTCCCAGGTCTGGAAAAGTCTAGTGACAATTAAAGTAAGGCTTCCCTATGGGAAAGTGAATTGAAGAAAGACTGGTGTGAAGTATGTATGTGGGTGTATGGGTGTGAATGGGTTGTGTGTGTGTGTGTGTGTGTGTGTGTGTGTGTGTGGAAGTTGGGAGAAGTGGTAATGATATTGGTCTGGATAGGGACTCAGAGAAGAGGCTGGGATGGGGGAAAATTAAAATTCTGAAGAACATAGACTAAAAAGGGAGACCGATATATGTCCAATCATTCCATAATCTGCACCTCTAATCCTCACCCCTATAACCAGGGAAGGTATGTCGAGACTTTTGGATTTATTTATTTCTTTTTTCCTTTGAAGTCTAATTTGTGTGTGTGGGTAGGAGGGGTGGGTGGCAAATAAATTTTTTTTTTTTTTATGAATGCTGTATCCTTCTAGCAGGGGATAAATTCCTCTCAGGAACATTTTTTTCTTTTTTTTACCCTGGTCCTTTAAAGTTTCCTGTTATCTCACAATAAACAATAGGTATTCATTAGACAAAATTAGTTTAATGTGATTCATGATTGTTTAATTCTGCTAGCCCAGCTGCACTTGTCCTGAAGAGCTGTATAATATATTCAAATGACCCGAAGCTTTTAAAGTCAATCTTGCAGCAGAAAAATTACCCCCTCCCCCCAGGAGGATAAACTTTTTGTGTTGTATTTCTTCCCATGACTGACATTTATTTGACTCTCAAGTGTATTTACATTGTTGGCTTAACTGGAAGTTCTTTGCCGAATCAATAATATGCTATATTTCTTGCTTCGAGCGGTGTCAATATTATTTCTATTCCTCTTTTTAACTTAATTCCCTGCAGTTACAAAAATTTTCTTTGACTCGTGAAAATTTTTACTCCTAAAATTATGAAGAAACAGAGTGAATGTCCTTTTAATCTTCTGGGAAATGTGTGCCTCTTTAAACTTTATTTACGTCACAAGTTAGTGTAACGAAGGACGAAAGTTCTAGACAAGGTCCCCTGCGCCTTGGGAGTGTTCAAGGCTAGGTCTCCTGGAGGCAAGCCTACAGTTTGTTCTCAAAAGTTTATTGCTCACCTCCTTGCTATTGCTTTGCATGGGGCATGACAGGAGGCTAGAAATAGAGCAGGGTGGGAATCTGACCCATCGTGACCATGCAGGAGGCTCTGGCCTGGAAAATTCCCCTGTATGTGGCAAAAACAAACATTTGAAATGGAGGGAGAAACCAGGCTTAAACAAAGAGTGAAACCAGTTCCCATTTCAACTTTCCTGCCGATAAACATATGTGCTCGCTCATTTGTTTCCCAAACATCAGTTTTCTATCATTTGGACAAAGCCTCAACCTGAATCTGTCCAGAACACAGAAAACAAATATTTTGAGATTTAATAAAATGGTGTATATGTATATTATGAGCGTTTTGTCAATGTTCAACTGGTCTACCAAAAAATATGCTAAGATGGTGTTGTGCAAACCTATTAATCCTACTGTATTTTTCAGGCAATGGTGACCTCGCCTTACTGGTCCCATCTGCCTGTGTGCTACAGGATTTACTTCAATATTAATCAAGAAACAGACAAAAGTCAAAAGCCATCTGCCTTGTCTCATGTCCTTTGTAATTTTGTCCTCTGTCACCCATGCTCACTTCTCCTTCCTTGTTCTTCTGCTGAACTCCTTACTGGGGTGCCCAGCTACTTCCTCAGCACCTGTCCTCCTCCCTTACCTGCCGCCTGCAGCACGGGCAGGTGCACTCTTATTGCTTATCTGAAAAATATGACCCATAGAAATAGTTGGAATCTTTTTGTCAATTTAAGTGTCTTGGATTCTCTGGTTTTCTGTCCTAACCATAGAAATCCATCCGGTCATACATTTCTCCTTCCTGTGGTCTCCATTTGTAGAATAAAATTAAGAAAAATATTTTTCCTCACTTAACAATTGTTCAAACTATTTTCCCCTTCTTTGGTGCTTTTGTCTTATAATAGCTCATGAATGATCAGCAGTGATTTTCTGTAAATGCCACAATTTCCTTTTTGCCAGGACAAAGGGTAATATTAAAGGACCAGCTAGTTCTTCTTCTTGTAGTACATAGGTTAAGAGCATGAGCTCTGACATTAGTTTGCTTTGGTTTAAATTCAAATATCCTCATTAAACAGCTGTGTGACCTTAGAAAAATTATTTAAACTCTATGAGTCTTAGTTTACTGATTTGTAAAGTGGGGAGAATATTAATAGCATATAATAGCGGTCACCATGGGCTAGGCACAATATTAAATAAACACTTTAAATGTATTGGCTCATTTAATTTTTGTTAACTTCATAATGTAGGTAATTAACATCATCCACATTTTGCAGATGAGAAAACTGAGACATAAAGAAGGAAACTAACTTGGCCAAGGTCAGAATTAGTATGTGGTAGAGCTAGGCTTGTGAAGCCAGGTAGTTGGATCCCAGAGGCCATGTACTTACCAGTATTCTATATTGCCTGTCTGTTAAACTATTGAGTATAAAGAACTCAGCACAGTGTTTGGCACATAGCATTTATGGTCAGCTAGTATTAACATCACCATCACCTGTTCCTGCCTTTCTTTGTTTTGTCACTCTTGCTTCTACTGGACAAGTTGTGTAAAGTTGAATGCCTCTACCACCACAAGAAGAGAAAACAACAGCAACAACAGTGCTCTAGGCTGAAGTAGCTTCCTAATCCTTCACCTTGTGTGCTTTGTATTTAAACCACAAATAAGACAGATACCTGTGAAAGGAGGCACTAAATGTTAATACCTCTTTTCCATCACATAAAAGTTATGTTCCTGCTATCTCCCACCCTCCAGAAACAAGCCAACAAAAACTGCTTAAGGCAAGGGAGACATTTTAGAAGTTGTAGACTTCAAGTAAAGTTGCTACCATTCTTTAATAAACAGCAGCAAAAATTTCAAAAAGTAATGAAGGTCGTAAAAGATGTTGGTGAACAAAGACTTTGTTTCTAGAATAAATTTCCCAGTCTGCACTCCTTGTTTTAGAATGCCATTATGAGGCATAAAGACAGAAATTTCTGCACATAATTATTGTATTCTTCCTTTAAAGTAAGCCACTGACTTTAAAATTCTCTAACACATTCATGGAAACTTCATTTTTTTTGTTTGAGATTTATTTGAATGAGCTGTTATGATTGGAGACAGTGAGAATTTCAGATTAATGTTTTGCAGCCAAAAAAAAAAAAAAAAGAAACCCTCTGGAAAGCTGGCAAGTGTTCATAAGTCAGCCCTAGAATTATGTAGGTTGAAGGCTCCCAGTGGACAGACCGAACATATAAGAAGGAAACCAGAGATCTGGTGCTATTACGTCCCAGAGTCTAAGGGAACGAATAAGCACAGAATTCAAAGCATTCTTCAGCCTGAATTTTTAAGGTAAGTCTGAACAAATTATCTATACTTTACTTGGAAAGTAGAGCATATATTAAATGAAAATATTTTTTATGGATGAACTTTCTTTTTTTTCCCCTGTGTTTTAACACTGTATTTTGCAAAACTCCTAAATTATTTAACTGCTGTTTCTCTTACAGGGGTACATTTAGGAACTAGGCAAGCTGATTTATGATAACTGCTTTAAACTGCAACAACCAGTAAGTCTTCAAGTGGGATTTATTTTTGATTCTTTTATGTTAATTTGTTAGCTCAAACAAAAGAATGAACTTTAGACAAAAATAATAGTTTTGCTGTTTATTAGGAAACTCCTTGGTGATTACATTTTTAATTGGGCAGTTTATTTTGTATGTATTTTGAAACTATCAAAAGTAAGAGTTGTTTCCTTAGTATGTTTATCTTTAGCTAATTTTCTTTTGTTTTAAAATAATGTTTCTAGTAAAAAAAAAATCACAAAAACCTGAACACAGATTATAGTATTTGAGAGCAATGGGTATTTCTGTTAAAGTGAAAAGATAGCAAAGGAAAAATGATAAGACTATATCTTGGTTAATCACTGATGCTGAATTCTTATTTCATTGAGCAATCAAAACTATTTCTACTTGACCCTAAAACAGGTTTGGCTATTCTTTTTTTTTCCTAATTAAATCAAAAATGGATTCTTTTTATTTTAAATAGGCTAAACTTAAATATCTATTCCTAAAACTAATATTCTCTATTAAAATCAGAACAGAGGACTTTTAGAAATATGTACTTATTCCATAACACTTTCTTAATTATATTATCATGAAAACAATGGAAAAGTAGAACTAAAGAAATTATTTTTAATTAGTGAAAACCAACCATGATACCTCATCCCAATAAGTTCCATTTGTATATTCTCTTTCATTCTTTTGTATGTGTACTAATTTTTTTCATAGCTTATGTTACTTACATTTTCCATAGCTGTAATGATTTGTATACAGTTAGATACTTGAATGGAGCATCTCTCTATGCAATATCAGGCTGCAATGTGGTTTCTAGAAAGTATACATATGAGATATATGCTCCTTTTTGAAATACTAACTTTTCTTATTTCTAGGTTTCTTCTTATTTGTTTCATACATCCCCTATCCTGACTAACCTGCTGAAATATTAATTTTCTTTAAGTCTTTCATAAACATGATAGAAAAGATAGGCAAAACATAATTTTATTCAGAACTTTCAGTCCCTGAGGCTGAAACGTCTTACTTCTTGCTACTATTGAGCACATTGTTCCTTCTTCTTCAAGAGGTAAAATCCATTCTTGTTTCACAGGCATGATTCTATTTCATAATGTTTGTTATAATCACTCAGTTTTTTCTTTTTTGCTTTTGACAAACTTTCAAAATGCTAATGACTCCAGGATGTCCTCAGCTCTGAATGTGTTCTAAGAGTTCCATTTCTTTTCCCCCGCAGAAGACATAAGAATTAGGAGCTGCTGACATTTCAGTATGAAGGGCAACTTCACCCTTGCCACCATCAGCGAAAACATCACCAGCAGTCTTTACTTTGGACTTGTGAACATCTCTGGCAACAATGAGTCTACCTTGAACTGCTCACATAAACCATCAGATAAGCATTTAGATGCAATTCCTATTCTCTATTACATTATTTTCGTGATTGGATTTCTGGTCAATATTGTTGTGGTTACACTGTTTTGTTGTCAAAAAGGTCCTAAAAAGGTTTCCAGCATTTACATCTTCAACCTGGCTGTGGCTGACTTACTCCTTTTGGCTACTCTTCCTCTCTGGGCAACCTATTATTCTTACAGATATGACTGGCTCTTTGGACCTGTGATGTGCAAAGTGTTTGGTTCTTTCCTGACCTTGAACATGTTTGCAAGCATTTTTTTTATCACCTGCATGAGTGTCGATAGGTACCAATCAGTCATTTACCCCTTTCTGTCTCAAAGAAGAAACCCTTGGCAAGCATCTTATATAGTTCCCCTTGTTTGGTGTATGGCCTGTCTGTCCTCATTGCCAACGTTTTATTTTCGAGATGTCAGAACCATTGAATACTTAGGAGTGAATGCTTGCATAATGGCTTTCCCACCTGAGAAGTATGCCCAATGGTCAGCTGGGATTGCCTTAATGAAAAATATCCTTGGTTTTATTATCCCTTTAATATTCATAGCAACATGCTATTTTGGAATCAGAAAACATTTATTGAAGACCAATAGTTATGGGAAGAACAGAATAACCCGTGACCAAGTCCTGAAGATGGCAGCTGCTGTTGTTCTGGCGTTCATCATTTGCTGGCTTCCCTTCCATGTTCTGACCTTCCTGGATGCTCTGGCCTGGATGGGTGTCATTAATAGCTGTGAAATTATAGCAGTCATTGACCTGGCACTTCCTTTTGCCATCCTCCTGGGATTCACCAACAGCTGCGTTAATCCCTTTCTGTATTGTTTTGTTGGAAACCGGTTCCAACAGAAGCTCCGCAGTGTGTTTAGGGTTCCAATTACTTGGCTCCAAGGCAAGAGAAAGAGCATGTCTTGCCGAAAAAGTAGTTCTCTTAGAGAAATGGAGACCTTTGTGTCTTAAACAGGAGAGTGGAATGCATGTAATCAACATGGCTACTTGGTTTGAGGCCCACCTGAATTATCTTTAAATGGCTTTTGTAAAATATTAATTTTTCCCTCTACTCTAATCTAATCTAATCTTTTCTCACTCTTCTAGAATAGGAAACCAAATGTAACTATAAGTTTTATCCTCCACTGACTTTCGGGAATTGCCCATTGTTTTTATGGTATTATTTGTACAAGATTGTCATTGGTGAGGCATATTCATAACCTAGAAGTAACTGGGGATTTATCTCAAGTTATAATTAATAGTGAATTGTGAATGATGATTTGGGGTATCAGATTTTTCCTTGAAAAATGCTGGCGTTTCTTAGTGGGGTTTTCTATCCATTTTCATCAGGCTTTCCTCTTGAACTAGGGCCAGTCTTTTAACTTGTTGCATTATTTACAAGACAACATTGTAAGAGAGATGAGCACTTCTAAGTTGAGAATATTATAATAGATTAGTACCAGATTATTCAGGCTCTAGGCAAATGCTTCCTACCTTAAAAAAATTATAAATTATATCCTTCTGATGGACATATTTGAAACACGGACTTCGGTGGAGGGGGAACCAAGGGCAACACACGTAACCTAAACGTATGTACACCCATAATTTGCTGAAATAAAAAAAAAAATTATATCCTTCTTACGTTTCACTTTGAGCATAGGTTTATACTTAAGATATAACTACATATTGAGTATGGCTAGGAATATAGATTAAATCACACTCCTACATTTTAGCTTATTTTAACAGTTATAGAAAATAAAATGCATAATAACATAGAATCGCAATTAACAAATGAGTGTTCACTAAACTCTGAATAAACACTTTTTAAAAACTTATCCATTTCAACTATTTTTAAAGGTTTATATTTTCTCTGATAATTTTTTGAAAACAATAATTAAACACTATGTATTGTTATAAAATGTAAACGTCACTTTTTACATCCTTGACCTTTTCAATGTGGTGCTTTGATATATAGGACATTGACTTGATTTCTATTATTGATGCTTTGGTTTGGGGTTGCTTCCCAAAATATCTGGGTGGCTTCTTTTAACTCTTTAACTTGTAGTAAACCCTTAACTATTAATAGCATAGGAAAATGTTATGTTAGAATGGAATTTTGATACCTGGGGCTGGGGGCAAAGAGACCCATCCAATTATATGTTTGGTGTCAAGCAAGGAACTTGTGAGGGCAGTGCAATGTGGCTTTGAAAATATAGACCATCGGGGTAGTTTTAACCTGTATCTATGGATACTATCTGTTTCAGAATATGTAGGATTCTGTGGGGCTATTTTAAACCAATTGCTGGTGCATAGATCTCCTTTTCAGTACTATCAGAGCTCCTAAATTAGAGGACTACCTGAAACTGAGTTACTTAAAGTTTACTTAGATTAGAGTATGAATCTTGATTTTAGAAGTTCAGGATTTCATTCTGCATCAGCTCCGTATTAGGCCAGCTTACCTAGGACCTTCCTATACCAAAACTGACCTCTGAGGTAGAACTAAAGTTTTGGGAGCCCAGCATCTCTCCCAGGTTCCAGGGCTAAATATTGAAAAAATCCTCTCACACCACTTTCTGAGAAAGTCCTAATTTTATGTAATCATAAAATTTCAATAAAAACAAATAGCTAAATGTATAACCATCTATGACTTAATGTTTTAAATAATTTTGTAAAACAGCTTATATAAATAAAATGTTTAATTGGAAGATCATGTGTGCTTATTTTTTATTTTAATTACCTGTAAGTATGAATTCTTAACTTCTTCTGTATCTTTATCCTCCATTCAATCCTCATGGATACTTCTTAGCTTCAGCCCTCATCATTACTTACTTGACCTTTTGCCATACTCTTCTAGTCTCCTTCTCTTGAGTATTCAGCCCAAATTTCCGATTAACTATGAAAGCAAAGTCCAGATTTCTTATCATGGTCTCCAAGGCCTTGAGAGATCTGACCCTTCCCAGCCTCTCTGGCCTTATTCTCTCTGCCATCCCTCCCTTGCACCCTATGCCCAAGCACCACAAAACAACTTACAGCTTTTTAAAGACCTAATGCTCTTTCATGCCTCTCTGGTTTTGTTCATACACCTTTGTTTCCCTGAACACCCCTCCAATCATCCTCACCCCCAGGGCCTCTCATCCAGTTGATGAATACCCACTCAGCTTTCAACATTCAGCTCATGGCATTTCCTATACCACAATAATTATTATTATATTATACTAATTATAAAAGCACCCCACTGGGAGTTCCCTTAATGAACAGAATTGCTTCTCTAGTTTTGGGGATTTTAAGCCTGGCCTCTGCTTTCATAGAAGCCAGTACTGAGCTCTGAGTAGTAGTTTGCTAGTCATTTGTCCTGGGGCTAAGAAGAAATGCTAGTTGAGAGGATGGTGCAAGAATGCGTGAACTCTGACAATAGGAATGTAAAACGGTATACGTGTCCTCTTTCCTCTTTGAAAATGTAAATTTCAGGTAAGCTTCTCAGTAAATGAAATTGTATTCTTCTCATTTGGTCACTTTTCAAGGATTCCCTAATCCCGTTTCTTTCTCATGACGTCACCTTTTTTTCATCCCACCTAATACAATGCCCAGGAACCACATAATAACAACAATTACAACAGCAACAACAACACCTACTATTAGGTGAGCATTATGTGCTAGGCACTGAGCGTTTTATGTGCATTATCTCATTTTATTCTCAAAATGACTCAATTATTCTCATTTTACAAATAAGGAAAGTGAGGCACAGATGAGTCCTGACTAATCTTTAAATTTGGCTCTGACAGATGAACCAGGTAGTCCCAATAACGGTATTTAGTACCTTAAATATTGATCCTAGGCTACCAAACAGATAGTTCAGAGACAGTCTTGCACAGTCCTTCAACCTTCATGCCAAACTGCAGTGCTCGAGCATCCCTAACCTCAGTAATACAAGAGCTCTGGGCAGGCAGTATATTTGCACCTCTGAAGAAGAAGAGAGGAGGTAGATGGATGAGGCTTTCTCCCTTGTTTTGCACTGTTCTTTTCTTGTACTCCATGCTGTACAGAGCAATATGAAGTCACCACTACTCCCCACTGCCCCCTCTACCCCATACATGAAGCAAGACAGATACCCCAAACATTTCTTTTAAGGAACAAATACGTTGATGTGAACTTCAGCTTTTGTGAAGTGAGATTATATGGGGTTACTAGAGAAATTCATCTCTTGCAACTTGCAGAAGTAATGTGTATTTTTATTATGGAAAAGCAAATATTAATTATTTCCACATTTTATAGCCCCAAATCAGAGCTACTAAATGGGATGTTTTGCAAAAAATCCTTTTTTTCCTAATCTTTTGAGGCCTGAATCAAAATGAGCAGGCAATCTGAAGGTAAGCACATTCAATTTTGACTTTTTTTCTTTTTTTCCCCACAGGAATCTGAGGGTGGGAAACTGTCTGGTGGCCTTACATATCAACAAAAGAAAACTCCAGACTTGATGAGTTAACGTATGAGGTGTCTGAAGCAAGAAAGTGTTGAGGTAATAAGAAAAATACAACAGTTATTTTGTTAATTTCCACTTAAACTGTAACAGCAGTGATGATTCACACAAAATAACAGAAATTCATGAGTTATCACTAAAAATAACCTCTTTTCTTGTGAAAGAACAGTGGCCTAGAGCTGAGTTGGCTAGTTCACTTACATACACATACCTACAAAGCATCAGCATCTTCAAAAAAGTTCTTTCTTTTTGAAATTTATTTTCTAGGTTGAGAGAATTCTTTTTAAAATTATAAATAATTGATAATGTATTTCTTACTATAGAATCAATTTTTATTGTTGAAAAACGTAACTATATAGGTAAAAATTAGCCAGAGAGATCACCATTAACCATATGGGGTGAGATTATTATATAGATATACACATAGACACAGTGTGTGTGTGTGTGTGTATATACTGTGTTTTTTATGTCTATCTATATCCATATTTCTTTCTTTTTTTATCTATTGCCTATCAGATGTGTCCTTCATCACCCTGTGGTGCATTTCTTTTAATATTTAAAATATTTTGACCCTAAGCTCCCATCCGGTATATTAGAATTTTTCTTTCTTCCTTCATTTGGTCCAAAATCCTAAGGGCTTTAAGCGATCCAAGAGATCATACCTGGTTACAATTGTCCAGGGGGGGGGAAATACTGAAAAATTTGATAAGTCTACTGGCCCATTCTCTGAAACTGTTGTTACTACATTATTTAGCAGTTGGTCCACATGAGAACAGATGGCTCAGTAGTCTGCTACAGACTCCTGTCCACTTAAGTAGTTTTGAAGTGATCTATGCACAAGCCACCTGATAAGCGCGTAAGAGAAAGAAGAAGAACGTCTCCTCCTTCCTCCAGTGTTACACTTGCTATATCTGATACATGCCATGGTGGACCTGGGCTCAAACACATCTTTGTTTTGGCACCTTCATGGATCCAGCAGCAATCAGTGGAAATCTAGCAGGAGGAACATGTCATACCAGGAACCAGTCTTCTTCCTTTAGTGAATTTCTCCTGTGCAGCTGGAGTCATGGTTCAAACTTCTCATCAATAAAAATGGGTATCCCTTATTGGGGTAGGGAGTAGGTAGCGGGGCTGATGTTGCTTCTTGATGACATCAGTAGAGACCATCTTCGTGTATAAGATATGCTGGAATAACTTTGAAATTCTTAGAAAAAGGATCTAGTTCTTGATTCCATTCTTCTCAGAAGGCCCCATTTTTAATTACCTCTTACCCCCAAAACACAGCAATGTGTACAGAATACAGCTGGCACAGAACCATTTGCCTGAGGAATTGGAAATATCAAACTGTTGTCCACCCCCCAAATTTCTAATTATAGCCTTCTTTTGGATCAATTGATCCCTACGTACTCTATATTCATACATCAAAAAGGGCCACTGGAATAATAATTCCCATTACAAAAAAAATCTACTCCAGTGTTTCTTAATGTTGTAATAGCTTGAAACATTTGAAATGATATTTTCTCTACCTCTCAGAAAAAAAGTAAAAGCCTACTTCGTGAGTTATACTGTTGTTAGCTATTGCTATGGACTGAATTGTGTCTTTTCTCCACCCCCAAAATTCATATGTTGAATCCTTAACTCCTAATGCCACGGTATCTAGAGATAGTGCTTTTAAGGAGGTAATTAGGTTAAAGGAGGTGATAAGAGTAGAGTCATAATCAATAGGACTGGTGATCCTATAAGAAAAGGAAGATCTCTCTCTCTCTCTCTCTCTCCCCCCCGCACACATACACATTCACATTGAGGAAAGGTCATTATAAGCAAATAGCAAGAAGGTAGCCATCTGCAAGCCACAAAGAAAGCCCTCACTGGAACGCAACCATGCTGGCATGCTGACTTTGGACTTCTAGCCTCCAGAACTGTGAGAAAATATATTTTGTTGTTTAAGCCACTCAGCCTATGGTATTTTGTTATGGCAGCCCAAACCAATTAACACAAATTTTGGTACTGAGAGTGGTATTAGAGGAACAGAATTTTAAGGGTGACATTTCTGAATTGGTTCTGGGGTTCCTGAAATTAATTGGTTCTCTAATCTGATTACATTTAAAGATGATAATGACTACTGCCAGCAGTAAAGAGAGTACTGATAGTCCATGATGTGATCTAGCATTGGAGATCCACAGAATATCACCATTGGTTACTCCTAATCAACCACATGTAAGTAGCAAGGAGCTGGATGATTATATATATGACACTTTTGAACATTTTTTGTGTATTAGAGAATATAATGAGATTGGCTGGCCGCTTCTAATGTCATGGAGAAAGTGAGGAAAGAAAAAGATGAGCTCTGGGATTAGAATTTCCAGGTCAAGTGCCACATAAATGACCTAAAAACCTCTATGTGTGTCTTCAAGGAGACCTTTATTTCCTATAGCTCCAGGGCTGAGAATGCTAAAAATTAAACCCCAAATGTCATCCTGTGATTGGCTAAATTACAACACAAGTTGAACTCTAGGCCTTGTAGGGTATATACTGTTAAAGTGAGGGCATTGATTAGAAAAGAATGGGATATTATAAGTTGGAATGCAGATGTGTGTGAAGACCCTGATGATTCTGGGAAGATTGAACCCCTAAATTCTGATGTGTTCTTTGCCAGTGGAAGAGGCCTCTCTACGCCCAGGGGAAGTGTCTTCCCTACTCCCACTGAAAGATGTTTCCCTTCCGCCAGGGAGTCTCCCTACTCACAGTGGTAGCGGCTTCCTCACTCCCAGTAATATCAGCCTCTCTATCCCCTCTGGGGACTAACCGTGCATTGCCTGAGGAAATTGTAATGACCTCCCCTGAGGCAGTTGCTGTGCAAGATAATGTTGAGTCTCCTCAGGACCAACTCCCAACATTCCTCTTTGTTTCTAGACCTATATAAAACTAGACTCAAGTCCCAGTAGACCCCTAAAGATGAGGTAAAAGGTTTGACCCCTGAGGAGGTGTACTGAACTCCAAATAGTTATTTAAGTTTTCTAATTCATACACGCAGAATTGGGAAACGTGGGGAATGGATATTAGAGTTGTGGGATAATGGTGGATGGTACATCAAGTTGGATCAGGCCAAATTTATTGATATGGGCTCACTAACCAGAAATTCTGCATTGAATGTTGCAGCTTGAAAAGTTAGAAAGGGGCTCTAACTGTTTGGTTAGTGGGCTGAAAGGTGGCCCATAGTGAATAAGTTGGAAATATCAGACTTTTCTTGATATAATGCAGAGAAAGGAATTCAAAGACTTAGGAGGATTCAAATGTTAAAGGGGATTTGTCATTTAAGACCTACTCCCTCACAATAGGAGGGTCCAGAAGACATGAGAAATAAATTTTTTAGGAGAGCCCCAGCGTCCTTGAAGAGGTCTGTGCTTGTTCTTCTCTGTAGGCCAGATTTCACAGTAGGGACTGCAGTTGCTGAATTGTGAAATCTAAATGCAGTGGGAGTAATTGGACCCCAGTATGGCTGTGGCCAAGTGGTAGCACTTGACCACCAAAGGCAAGGTGAGCATGGTTACCACTGTGGATAGCAGAGTCAAAGCAGCTATCAGAATAATCTGACTTGCACAGACTATGGCATTGGCTAGTTGATCACGATGTTCCTAAAAGTGAAATAGATAGGCAGTCTACTAAATTCTTACTTCTTTTGTATAAGCGGAAAAGTTCTAGGTCAAGTGAATAGAAGCCTAACCTGAATCATAAAAACAGTCATGGCACCTCAATCAATTCTCAGGACTGAGCCAGTTTACAGACTCAGAACTCCTTGAATGAAGGGGAGGCCAGGTCCCCTTAAGGAAAGATCCCAGTACACTGACAAAAATGCCTACTGTTAGTCTTTCTTTCAGCCTTCCCTAAGGGGATTATGGCCTTTTATCAGGGTAACTGTGCATTGGGGAAAAAAATATACTCAGACCTTTTGGGGAATCTGTAGCCATGGCTCTGAACTGACATCAATTCCAGGAAACCCAAAATGTTACTGTGGTCTTCCAGTCAGATGAAGGGCTTATGGAGGGTCAGGTGAACAATGGAGCTTTAGCTCAGATCCATCTCACAGTGGGCCCAGTGGGCCCCTGAACCCATACCGTGGTTATTTATACACTTCCAGAATGCATAATTGTAATAAATATACTCAGATGCTGGTAGAATCCTAACAGATGGTTCCCTTATCTGTGAAGTGAGGGCTATTATGGTGGAAAGGCCAAGTGAAGGCCACTAGAACTGGCTCTATCTAGGAAAATAGATAACCAAAAGCAATGCT